GGAGGAGGAGGAGGAGGAGGAGGACGGAGGAGGAGGAGGGAGGGAGGGAAGGGGGAATGGAAGGGAGGGAGGAGGATGAGGATTGAGGATGAGGATGAGGATGATGAGGATGAGGATGAGGATGATGATGAGGAGGAGGAGGAGGAGGAGGAGGAGGAGGAGGAGGAGGAGGAGGAGGAGGACGTGTTTACCTGTTTACCTGCATGCCGTGGTTACCTGCTGCACAGGCGGGGCACGTGCAACACAATCACAGGTCGGGGAAAGCCCCCCCAGACTTAGGGGGCAGCCCTCTGGACAATCAGCTGAGCACTTCCTTCCCAACTTTGGTGGGGGGCCGCACTCGCTCCGCAACCTTTGCGAACACAATACAAGACCCCGCGGATGCAGGCGAGGGTGTGCGTCGTGTGGCAGTGTTCCGCCAAGGGATGATCCAACCCCCCACCCAGTCCGCCCTCCAACGCCCCCAGATCATCAGGCGGGAGTTCCTCACGAAACCTAGGCTCCTGAACCTCACGAGGGGGGAGGGCTTGAACTCGCTGGGCAATCTCTGCTCTTGGCTTGCAGGGGCCTGGCCAGAATTCAGAGAGCGGTCCTCGCTTACTGAACGTCAAATGGCACTTGTGGCACGATAGCACACAAGGCCGCTCTGTGCAGAACTGTCCCACCTCATAGATCCTGCCCAAACGTAAACTGGGACTTCGGGCGCCTGGGGGCTCTCGTGGCTAGATCACGTTCGCCAGTAAACAAAACCTCTCTCTGGACAGCGAGGAGGGGGCTGAGAACCATAAGCGCTCGATTGTCCACCACCTCAGTGGCATGAACATGTTCAACTGACATCTGGGCCAACTCAGCGGCCCCATTCGCAAAACAAGTCAGCACTCTTGTTAAGATAAAGCTCGGCACGGGTGAGACGCATGTTGACTTCTTGGGCAAAAGAGGGGTGACCTTTGGTCCATCGAACCTTCACAGATCCGTTGCGGGCCCCCCAGGGTCTCGTGATAGGATCTCCAAAGGTCCAACACCGAATACTTACACAGTTGCCTCAACGTCTTCAGTGACCCACGAACCACGGACATGCAATTACAATCGACCACCACGTCTCCCCAGTGAGTAGCAGCTGGATGAGGGCATTTAATTCAGCGCGCCGAACAGTCTGCACCTTAGTGGGGAGGGTGCCACACACTCATCCGTCGACATATGGGTAGCACCTTGGTGGACGACTGACCATCCACAGCGTCTGAGGCGCCAGTCTTTCATATACTTGCCTCCAGAGCCATGCACGCCCCACATTCCACCCTTGATCTTGGCACCATCTCGCAACCTCCCCCATTCCCAGATCCAAGCGGGAGGGTCGGGGAGATGCCCGCTGGCATCTAGGAAAGGTGGCAGGCCGCGGCGCCAGAACGAGGCGGGGGCATCAGGGTGGAGGGCGTCTGCCTTCAAAGAATCAGATTGGCCAGTCGCCGAGTCGAGCATATCGTCATTGCATCGACACTGCCAGAACCGATGGGCGGCCGTCTCGGGGGCAATCCCGCATCTAAGGCACAGGCCTCGGCTGGAGAGTCGTGTCCTGCTTGAAGAAGCCGATCTTCAGTTCAAAAACCTGCAGTCATAACGATGCGCAGCATCTCAGCGGCCTCAAAGTCCCCTTGCTTCTCAATCTGTTTTTCTTTTCCAAAAACCTCCTGGGAACAATGGAATCAACTCCTTCTTCCAATCCTTTACCTAGCTATTGGCTGGAGGCCATGCTCCAAGACATGTTCGCACAGAGCTTCTGGAGGGCCTCCAGAGCGCGTGCGCGAGATCGCCATCCGTTAGGCGCAGCAACGCGCTGTCGGGGAACTCCCAGAGGGCGGGGCTCTTGGGGCCCGCGCCAAGGTCCAAGAGAACCAGTATAGTAGCAGCCACGAGACCCCGAACTTTGAGCCAACGATGCTTGGTACCTCGAAGGATTCCAAGACTCTGATGCCAACACTGAGCAACCTCCATCCTTTGCTTGTGATCAAGGTCCCCCCCCCATACACCATGGAAAGCAACGAGCTGCTCATGGCCAGGCCTAATCTGGGGGCCACCCCTCGCAGGACTCACGTGCCCGAGGACCGTGGTAGTGCGGGCCCCTGGGGCCCACCATCCAGGGCGCCTGGCCTCCTGGGCCCTCATGGCCCGAATGTGCCCCATGGTGAACCCAAAGGCCCGGTGACTCCACGGCCCGACCGCAAGAAACCCTGGCTTGTGCAATTTCCGGGCACTCCCGACGATGTTGCTCAGGTAAGCCACCTTCTTAGCTTTCTTGGCGGCCATCGCTCGCCTTTGCGGCATCTTCAAAATGTGTCTACGTTTGCCTGCCGAGGTCATGGCCCCCGGATCTCCGGTCGCCTCGTGCAATTTGATGGGCGAACCTGTAGACTGAAACATACCTACAAGCTGACGGTCTTGGCCAGCACGACTACATGCAAGTGCCGACTTAGCAGAGATAGTGCATCCCAAACTGGAAAACTGGTGCGTCAAATGCATGGCAGCTGGCACCAGCTTCGCGAGGATCTCACTCGATGTGCCTCGCTGGGACTGGGTGATGTTATCCATGTGTGCTTTGACACGAACAGGGAAGAAAAGAGCATGGGCATTGTCTCAGAGATATCGCACACATGTATCTTGACCCAAGCCATAGCCTGCACGCAGCCCGCAAGTATACCCTCACCACTCTCCATGGTGTCAGATACGTACCCTCCCACCTCCACCGCCCGAGGAGACACGTGAATGAGGGCGCCCCAGTAAGGGGGTGGGAGGGGATGACCCATCCCAACGGCAAGCTCAATCAGCGTGTGAGGGTCGGCAGTATCAAAGAAGCGCGCGAGGTCCCGGTGGGCGCTCGCGGAGTAAAGCCCAAGAGCGCGAGCAACCTCGTGACCGAGCTCTCGCAACAGGACCGCCTGGAAGGCACTCGAGCCTTGCGCTGCGGTGGCCCAGGAGTAACGCCTTTCAGCATTCCATCTATCCAGGTCAGTGCACGCGGTGTAGGGTAGGGCACATGCAAATCGGACTATCACACTTAACACTTTTAGGCAGGAGCGCTATGGCGCTCATGAGAACCTGGGCAGGCCACTTCATGCACAGCTCGCACTGATTGGGGATGCAAGTGAGCCCCGCAGCAGCCTGGAAGGGGGAGGTCAACAATCTGGCGAGGAGCCCAGTGGTCCACCCCCGCGGCAGTGGTCGCAGAAAAAAACACTTAGCTCCTCGCTGGATGTCTAAGGCAGTGAGAGGCTCCAACCCCTCGGCGTGGGCCAAGGCTCTCGGGCGGAGAGCGTCCAGGACACCAGAGACAGCGGCGCGAGAGTCAGGATTCTTCCAAACGCGTTCCCAAAACCATTGACGGTGATCCATCATATTGCCAGGCAGTTGCAGCACTCCTTCAGGGGGGACCAAATCAGCGGGTGAATCAACTGGATCGCGTTCCTACCAGGAATGGACACGCTTAGGCCCTTTGGGAAGGGCCCGGGGCAACCGACGCTTTAAACCACCCCTGGGCCCCTTGCGCGCCGCCGACCGCGGCGCGGAAAAGTTCGGCAGAGATGGCGTCGGACATCTCGCCAAGCGCGTTGTTGAGCTCGGTGGGGGGTCGCCCCTCTCCGCCTCCGAGCGGGCCGAACACGGCATGCCATCGAGCAGGTGGGAGTGGAGCATCTGCTCGCAGGTGAACTGCTATCCTCTGCAAGAGTTTAGTTCAACGAGCTGTGCGCCGATGCTGGCAATCATCTGCGGGGACTTTCTGGCGCGATGCAGTCGGCGTTCAGACCACTTGCGCGGCGCCTGGGCCTAAGAAGCCAACTCAGATTCGCGAGCGCATTGGCTCTCAGGCCCCCATCCGAGCAATCGCGGTTTCGCGAAAGGCAACGCAATCTTTGCAATTCTCCATGCTGGGGGGCTGGTTGCATGCAACCGCGCGAGACTCAAACGCGGCCTCGGTCGCTCTAGACCAGACCGGATGCAAATCGTAAGTGGGGAACCCGAGAAATCTTGCACGTGGGGAACCGTCGCATCATGCAACTGCTGAGGCACGTCGCATTGGCCTGGATCCTCCACCATAGCAACCAAGCGTTCCCACCGGAGGTCGGGGCCGTAGCAGTGAGGGTACTTCGGAAGTCGAAGCCGCTACCGCGCCGCCCGGTGCAACGCCCGGTGCTTCAAGGTGAGGGCCGAGCACAGGCGGGTCTTGCAAGGGCTCGGGGAACGCGGCTTCAGGGCGACGTGCTCTCCGATATCCCGAGACGCCAGGACGTGATCATTAGGGGGCCCCTTCCTTGAGTGCGCGTGACATCAACTCCTTCAGGTGCGACGACACGAGCTGAAGCAAATAATAATGTTGAAATCCCCGAGAAGCATCCAGGGCGCGGCGAGGGCCCCCAAGAACCCCGCAACAGAGCGCGTCCGTTCGATGTGGGTCCCCGAGAAGCCCAAGTCAGAAATCAAATGAATTACTCTTGCAGCAAAGACTAAACCCAAGAAGCACCCAGGTGGGTCCCGCGCCCAAATCCTTGAGACCAGACCTGGCCAGGAAACGCCTAAAACAGAAGCCGTTGGGGACGCGGCATCCCGCGCCCCCGCGCGCGCCCCCCCCCGGGGGGCGGCGGCGCGCATGAACTTAATCGGGCCTCCATCCAATCTGGGAAGCATTGCGTCGGGGGCTCGAATGCTCGCGAAGCCTGGGGTGATGCTCAGCACAGAATAAACCATCGCAGTTTGGCCTGGTAGCTTGGGGGTGATCTAAAACCACTTGGTTCCAGCTTGCTATATTGCAAAACAAGGGGGGCATCTCATCCTTCTCACGGTGGTCGATCTTCCTGCTGCCCCTCCTGCTGCCCCCCCCCCTTTGCGCCGCGAGACCGACCGCGGGCGCGGGGGCGCGCGGGGGGCGGCGTCGGCGTCGTCAGCAGCCGCCTCATTGGCCTCGAGAGGCACTGGAAGTTGATGTGCTGGATGGGGAACTGGTGCTGGGGCACCGTCGACTGGCTGCGTCTGGGCCAGCGCGCGCTCGAAGGAGCTCCGGGCCGCGTCGCGTTCAGTGTGGATCTTCTCCTGAGCTTTGACCCTGGCACTTTTCTGCGTGAGGCGCTCCATGGCGGCAAGCTCCTCTGGGGAAAGACCATGGTCAAGACTCCGTTTCTTGAGAACGTTCAGCTCCAACTGATAAGTGGCCTCGTCCTGCGCGTCGGGCAGAACAGACTCAGCGCCATCGGCGTGCGACTGCTGGTTGCAAATCTTGATCAGGGCCCAATGCTCGAAGCGCCGGCCCTTCTCGTTGCGCCATTCACGTCGCTCGATCACCGACATGTTGGCAAGGTTGGGCGGGGTCGGCGGGATGGGTCCAAGGCCCCCCGCCGGAAGAGGGCCACTGGCACATCAACCTGCATGGGGGCCGCTGCGGGCGCCTGGCGCCGTCCAACTGCCGCCCGAGGGGCGCGTGGGCCAGGCGCCGCGGCAGGCGCCTGCGCGGCAGCAGGGGGAAAGGCCGCCGCGGCCTCCCTCTGCGCTCGTTCTTGGGCGAGCCTCGCGTGCTCAGCCCGCTCGTCCTGCATGATATTCTCCTTGAACGCCCTGGGGTCGAAACTGCCCATGGCTTCGTGTGATGCGCGGTGGGCGGCCGCGGCAGCCTCCAGCTCCGCGACCGCATTTGTATGTGCCTCGGCTGCTTGGGCCAGAGCATCACGGTGTCTGACCACAGCAACGAAGCGAATCTCCATGTCATGCTGGGCGATCCTCTCAGCCTTCGAACCCTTCTCCACCGCCAGCGCCAACGAGGCCCGCTGGCGCTCGACGCGTCTGCCAAGGTCGTCCTCATTGGCCAGCGGCGGTGGTTCAGGAACATCACGGGGTAGGACTTGCGCACGTGCAGCACGGATGTGTTCGGCTTGATCAGGGAACAGGCCCAGCAGCTTGTCGAACTCGGCACCCAATCCTGCTGGGCCCGAGGGGCGCGCTCCACATGTCGGTCACGACCTGCGCCTTTGTACTTTCCACCGCACTTGGAGCACTGCGCGTGCCCATACCTGTCATACTCCCAATGTCCGCATGCCGAACATACGGAGTAAGCACCAAAGTAACTAGGCACCACCTCCTGCTGGGCCCGAGGGGCGCGCTCCACATGTCGGTCACGACCTGCGCCTTTGTACTTTCCACCGCACTTGGAGCACTGCGCGTGCCCATACCTGTCATACTCCCAATGTCCGCATGCCGAACATACGGAGTAAGCACCAAAGTAACTAGGCACCACCTCCTGC